TTCATGGTACGCATGATATATCTGAGTAAATAACGAAATGCAATGCCTGTCGCTCGTTCTTGCATGCGTCCGCATGCACGGATTGCACTGCGCACTTGTGTACGCTACGTCACCGAATTGCAGCGGCGTGAGAAAAAGGAGGAAACGCGGACGCGTTTTTCTCTCCGCCGAGCTATATGTCATGCCACGATGGAAAGTAAGCGCGCGCATTTTCGCGCGATTCACGCGAACTCGAACGCGTTTACGTGGCCAGATAAAATCGTCCGTGTGTTCTCTTAATAATTCATGCTTTCGCTACAATATTGCGCGACCTGCGGAAAAATTACGAGACCACATGGATTTTTATCATTGCCGAGGAGAGAATATTCTGATTGAAAAAAAAAAAAAGATAATTTCGAGACTTGGATTTAAAAGGAAGGATCTGTTTTTAAAAGAGGGGGAAAAAAAAAGAAAAGAAAACCATCTCGATATTTCTATGTACGAGGGGCGTTTCAAAAGTAAGTTTCCCTATCATGAAAAAAAATAATAAACAACATTTCGGGGTTTACAAAAAATTTTATTAGATTATTTTAACATTATACTATTTTTCTACGTAGTCACCCTTTACATTTATGCATTTGGTATATCTGTCATATAATTTGTTGTGTGTATAATGCTCGTCCTCATTCTGCTGCAAAGACGAAGAAGTTATTGGCCAAATTTAAATGAGACATTTTTGATCACCCACCATATTCTCCAGGCCAAGTGACTACCATCTTTTCCCGCAGTTAAAATTGAGCCTCGGTGGCAAGCATTTTGATAACGAGGATCTTAAAAAAAACAGTCAATTTGTGGTTTCGAAATGTGGGCACGGATTTTTATAAACAAGGTATAAACAAATTATATGACAGATATATCAAATGTATAAATGTAAATGGTGACTACGTAGAAAAATAATATGTTAAAATAATTTAATAAAATTTTTTGTAAACCCCGAAATGTTGTTTATTATTTTTTTCATGATAGGGAAACTTACTTTTGAAACGCCCCTCGTAGAATGTTACGCGTTGAAAGAGTTTCCTCAATTCATCGAATGACGCGGGGTAATTAATCACGGACCTTAATGAAGACGCGTCGTTTAGAAAATGAATCGGTTCGCGTACGCTCTAGAGATCGCAACAATGTTTCTCGCCGCGTCGTCTCGAAAACGAAACATGCTTTCACGAGAAAAGAAAGATGTACTCCCGTGGCACCCATATTAACCATAAAATATTTTTAATCCGGTAAATAAATATCTTACGCGACATCAAATATATATTTATTTTAATTTTCTTCAATTTAGGACGTTTTAGTTGTACAATAGTAGCAAAAAAGTGTCAAAATTAAAAAAAAACAAAACATTTCTTACGTTTATACTGTTTGAAAAAATAAAGTAAATAAATCGGAATTATAAAAAGAATTAAAGTATTACAAAATAATATGGTTTTTAACGTCTTTGTAAAAGAAAATAGTTGTAATTAATATTTTTTCTAATTTATGGCAAAAACTTTTGATCGTGAATATTCCCTGAAATCAACTGCAAGAAAAAAAAAATTAGTAATTTGCAGAAAGAGAAAGAGAGAGAGAGAGAGAGGGATAATATTTTTCTACAATTTTTAGTAAATAATTTTTAAACGAGTAAGTAAATCTAAATTAAGTTTTGCATAAATATTTATTAGAATTTTCTTAATATACGTGAAAATTTTTATTTCGTTGGCATTGTTTTTTCCTTGTCAAATTTGTCAAGTGCTACAATATGCGATTTTCTATAAGAATTAATACTAACTTTAATTAATACAAACTTAAATAATTTCTAAAACGTTAAGAGAATTGTGCTCAGGTTTTGCACAGGTATACAGAAGAAATAATAGAACAGTCTAGGAAATTTTCATGCTTTTGTCAATGTTTCGACATATGACACATACGTCCTTAACAACCAACAAAACTCAAGACAATCGAATCATATTTTTGCCTTTTGGGAAAGGCCCGCCTACGTGGCCGCTGTACTCAATACCTGTGTAATATGAGTACACGCAGGTACGTGGGCAGTCGAGCTTTCTGGTCAGGTACACACCTATATCGCCGGACCGCAAGTTCGATCGGCATTATTTATTTATCACTGCCTACCTACTGCATTCCTCCGGCCTGTCACCCACGTGTGTACTCACGTGGAAATATCGCACGAAGAGACGCGAGGATCTCGTCGCGTATTTCTAATTTCGACCCCGTATCTCTCAGATGCATCCGAGATAAGCGATTCGCTTATAATTGCGCTCGCGTGAGTCATAAGAGATCGAATCGACCTTCGCTTTCGTATACCTCTCTCGCAACAATGTTGCTCGTGAATCGCGGCAAACATTCACCGTATTATCGCGCACGTAATTTTAGGTTTGCATCGCGTATTACGCCCGCCGTTTCGCCGCTTTACGTCCTCGTGCGCGCTATTTTGGTGCACGCGGGTTCGTTGACATCCCGTTCCCGTGGCTGTCATCGTCACGTACGCTCTCCTCCGTCTCTCTCTCTCTCTCTCTCATCAAGTGCAGGAGCCAGCGTCGTCCGTGTGTCAAAAGTGCCTGCCGCTCGCCAACTCGGTACAAGGTCGAGCAAATTGGCACCAGCTGCGACCGTGAGGCCGCAACCGAGAATGTCCCCTCTGTTCCGCGACGGTGCACCGCGGCACTTAGGACAAAGGGAGGACTTTGTCAGAGCGCGGTAACTCACTCCTCAAGGCCGACGCCTTAAATTTGGCGCGCAACGCATTCGCCGCTTGCATGCGCCGTCCGGTATGCGATCCTCGGCAGCCTCGCGAGTTTTACCGACGCCAGTCTGTGATGAGCGCCCGGCACTCGCATCGTAACTTTCGCGCGACAACGGGTGGAGGTTCTCGGTTAACATAAATTCCAAATCCAATTAAACGAGAAATCAATTTGCTCAGATTGAAGAGAGGAACGCCGAAAGCTCTTTGTTTTTTATATCATTTGGAAGATCTATTCTCTTTATTAATTCTCTTTAGACGATCTATAATTCGCGATAAAATTTAAAACAGAATTTTATTTATAATTTTATGCATCGCATGTTTTTTAGTGTATATATATATATATATGTCTCTTGATATATATTTTGATTTTGTATGTATTTTACGTATTTAAATGCTTTTTGCGTAAAATTTACCTATAAATAGAATTTTATTTTGAATTTTTTTGTAAATTACAGATCGTCTAAAGAGGCCTTGATGGTATAATTTTTGAAATATTATTCACAAGCTCGGAAATAAATTTAACAGCTCATATATTGTACATTTCCGATGGAGAATTTAATAAAGTGATTAAAATCTGATCATCGTATGTCGTAATAATGACAATCGCACACATTCAAATCCTCTTGCCTCTCGAGACGCAACGAAAAGACAGAAAAGGCGATCGGTTCGAAACAGGTCGAAAGGTAGGAGGCACAATGTCCGAGTAGGAAGCGCGAGAACAGTCATCTACGAGCGTTCTCTCGAAAACGAAATTGTAACCGGAGACCATCTCGTAACGGCCTCGAGATCTACGGAGTTCCGATAATGATCCGGACCAAATTCCGGATATCCGGCCGCAATAGCCGACGATCACCGGGGCAGGCAACATATGGAATCTGTATATACGCCGCGATGTAAAATGACGATGGAAGGCCTACGCTCGAGCGGCGCGATCGGAGGCGACTGTAAGCGAACGACTCTGCGAATGGCGCAACTATACGGCCCACTAAAAGTCCGCCGTTGCATAACGTTGCAGTCGGCGTGAACGCGAGCGCTCTCCGAGAATCCTTTTTGTCTCGCCCGCCTCGCTCGCGTGCTTGGCGAGGCGCAATAAACACGCTTGTTTATTAATTTCGCCGACGTGGGCTTCGCTCCATTTCATTTCTCTCGCTCGAAAATATCTATCTACGCACATTGCTGGAAATTATTTGAATTATTGCGCATTGTATACAGGGTGTTTCACTTCAGGTCAATAAAATTTTAAGGTCTTATAGGAAATGAATTTGGAACAAAAATGTTCCTCTAAACATAAGTCCGGAAAACACTTAATTAAAAAGTTAGCTAATAAACTTCGAAAAATCATGTTTTTTTGATGATTTTTAAAAATAATTTCGAAACCCTTCATGCATTCATTTAAAAAAAGTAACGAAATAAATCTGATGGGTAATCAACAATAACTTAACAAACTAAAATAAATAACAAACTAAATTACATTAATTTCATTTAATTCTGATAAGGCCTTCAAAAGAAAATAACCTCAAAACAACAAAAAAAAACAAATTTGAAAAAATCACCTTTCGATGGTCTTTGTGTAAACACTACATTCATAGTATAAACATTGCAAATGCAAACATAAAAATGTTCTTATTAAATCATAACTAATTACTTACAGAGAGTTTATTAGCTATAAGTTTTTAACGAAGCGATTCCGGACCCATGTTTATAGGAACATTTTTGTTCCAAATTTTATTTTTTTATAAGACCCTGAAATTTCATTGACCTGACCTGGAACACCCTGTATATTTAAGAAAAATTGCTTTTCGATTTTAATTTCGTTCTCTTTTCACGAATCTTGATGGACACATCAACCTGCCAACTTTCAAAGGAGGCTATATAACTTTTAATGACTTTTTAATATTCAATATTGAACATCTTGCTGAGGAGAGGATTTAGAGACCTTGAAATTATAAATTCTGAAAACGAGGAATACATTCGCAGAATTTTATTAATGTATTTGTAATAATACACATTTCGCGTGACATATAAATATAATTAAATTTCCCCAAAAATTTCCTTTTCGCTCTATTTAACAGCGCAAGATGCATCGTATTTCACGCGCTGTAATTTTTCGAGGCATATCGATCCCCTACACTTTCGCGTATGTAACGCGAAACTACCATCTCTCTTCCAAATCACCACCTTCCTCCTTCATATCCTTCGATCGGCGATCATGAAAAAGAAAATGCTCGTCTCACGCTCCAAATAGCTGCTACTCGTTGCTGCGAGAGATTGCTCAAAGATTGTTCAAAGATCGCGTTACGGGGAGAATCCGTTAGTCAATTCGTCCGAGGCGCTCGAAATTAACTAGCTTCTTACAAATCGATGCTTTACGCGCGGCTAATTAATTTGGCCCCGATTAACATCTTGCGATATTTGAGAGCGAGCCTTTAAGTTTGCACACACGACGGCTTATCGCTCATGACTCATAAACACCTCGCACTTATTGCCGGCGCAGCAGGACCGCAATACCGCTCGGCGTCAACATTACTCCCGGTAAGCTGATGTTCGTGCAACAATAATTCGTGCCACTCCCGGGAACACCTGTTCCACGGTAGCTGCGCTAGATGAACGATAGCTTCGGCGTAACGAGCGCGTCGGTAAATAAAATTGCCGGCTGAAGTTTTACAGCGAATCGTGATCGCTTCATTCATTTCTGACGCGTTGATGAATTTCCGCGACCGAGTGGCAGAGTTCGCGGGACGCGCGAGATACTTGGGAATTTGCGTCGCTGGAAAAACTTTATAGCGTTTTCCCTTTGAGGTCCTCTATTATAGTTTACGATGCGTATTTTAAATTTTTTTATACATGGTGATTCTAAATAAATGCGAAAAATGTTCAGAGATGATTCTTTCTTGAAAATTAAGGGAGGTCTTTCATATAAATATATACTCCTATATCCCTCCCTGAGGAGTTACACCCCTTATAACGATACGGGAGGATTAAAAAATATTAATAAGTCCCCTTTTACTACAATAGTAGAAAATGTTCACCAAATTTCATTTTTTTGACTTGTCTAAAATTTGAGAAAAAAAAATAAAAACTTAATTTTCATCTCCCCCTTTGAACGAGTGTAACTCCTCAGAGAGGGATACAGGAGTATATATTTATATGAAACCCCCTATTAATTTTCGACAAAAAGTCATCTCCTCAAATTTTTTGCATTTGTTTAGAATCACCCTGTATTTTAAATTTCGTTCGCAAGCGTTTTAGAGCCTAAAACGTAATAGACTCGAACGTTTCTCGCGTATAAAAATAAATATCTACCTCTGTGAAATTCTCACCAGCTATCCTGTGGTTGTTTATCCTGTACTTTATTACACGCCGGGCCCTATTTTCGCGCGGAAGGGCCCGGCGTGCGTCTCGCGAGCCGTAAACAACGGCGAACCGCGTATAATCATTCGATATGTTTGCGCTCGCGCTCATACTTGTTGCGCGCAGTACATGAAATATGTATTAAGCCCTGAATCCGATGCACGCGGAGGCTTTTCCAGCGCGACCATGCAATATTTATGCGCTTCTCGTTATATCGCGCATTGCAAAATCACACTTTTCCGGGCAGGGAGAGGGGACGCGCGTGCTGATATCTTTTTCGCGAAGGAAATGATCGAGGACCGTGACGATCTACATCGACAGATGCGTGTCTCGTTTCTAACGGGTAGATGCGGTAAGTGTAACGACAAAGCGCGATTAGATTCGTTAACCTTAAAGAGATCTTCCCTTTCTTCGCGATGTCGTTGTGAGTTATCGATAGCGAGAATAGAGATGTAAAAAAATCTAATTTTTTTTTCAATATAAAAAAAAGTTGAGAAAACATGTTTTTTTTCATTGAAAAAAAAAACCAATTTTTTTTTTTTTTAATTATTTTTTAAATATGATCTTATTTTTCTTTATATATTTTTATTAACATAATAAAAAGAAACTAGAGTTCTTATATTTTTGATCTATTTTTTTGAAAATAATTTTAATGGATTAATGAGACTTTTGCGGCAAAGTACATCAAACTCGACATGATTCAGATAATTTTCAATTAAATGCATAACAAGAATTTTTATTAATTAAAAATAGTAATTACATAACTCTATAGCCAATTGGAATGCAAGCTACATTAAAAATAATAATGTTTAATTCAAGTCTCTCATCTAAAAAGTTAAAAACAATGAAAAATCAATTTGCAATAATCAAAATATAAAGATATTAAATACCCGAAAAAAATTTTGAAAAAAAAAAATTGTTTTTTTTTCTATTTACATCTCTAAGCGAGAGATAAAGATCTTTCCAGACGAGATTCGCTCAATTCCGTCGCACCTAACCTATTTTTAAATTAGAGAAATACAAATCTCACCTCGCGAAAGGAACACGAATCTGATCTGAAAGAGACGCTCGTTTTCTCCGTTAGGGAAAAAGTTCGCGTAATATTGCAGGTAACGATAACAAACATTCGGCAAACATTCAACAATCGCGTGTGTCGTTGCTCCTGTTTTGGTCATTTGCTTTTATCGCACCAAATAATAGAAAGTGTTGTGAGCGCGTGCTCTCTCTCCTCGTCTGCCGAACATTTGTGTCAACATCGTGACCGCCGAATAACCAATCGCGCGATCACAATCGGTACATTTATTAACTCTTTTAATCATCACGTTTCCCTCCTTCCCCCTCTCCCTCCTCACCCCTCCTTCCGCGAAAACATGTTTCATCAGCAGGCACGTGCAATGACAAATAATACAGCTAATGTACACGTCGCGTATATACATATATTGCTACGCGTGCGCTTCAGAGATGAAATATATATATATATGTATGTACGATTTTCGTATTAATTTCATTGCATCGCGGAAAAGTAGCCTGGCGGCGCGCGTTTCGTGAAAGGGGCACGAGTTTAATTTCGCACGAAACATCTGTAGCGGAAATGAAACGAGACGCAAGAACTCTATCGGAGACGGATAGTGAATTTGTTACGTACCTCCAGTTACGCGATTACATTTTTCGCGTGTAAAAATGTTTCGCGCGAAATTGCGAGAAAAATTCGCGCTGAAAAATCCTAATCTTTTTCTTTCTTTTTTTTTTTTTTTTGCCGCGACGTCCAATAACCGCGGGGACCATTACCGCGAATAAAAATCTCTCGTTTTCCCCATTTATTGCTACGCCAACCTCTAGCCGGGACCGATGTGTGCCGCGAATTCCGCCGTAAAAAACCTAATTTTTTTTTTTTTTTTTTTTTTTTTTTTTTTTTGCCGCGACGTCCAATAACCGCGGGGACCATTACCGCGAATAAAAATCTCTCGTTTTCCCCATTTATTGCTACGCCAACCTCTAGCCGGGACCGATGTGTGCCGCGTCGGTCACAAAGCCTCAGTATACTTGATGCAATTCACGAGAATCCGCCCCTCGGGGGCTTCGAATTAATTCCATCTTCGTCGCGCGTAACAAACGAAGCGGCGCGCCGAGCTGTTGACGATGCTCGTTTCGTTCATACATTGTATTTCGTACACGAGAACGCTCGTCCTTAAAAAACGCGAGTTAGAGTTAATAAGAGTCGCGAATAGTTCGCCCAATTCCGGCAGTGGTGTCAACTTAGGGATTTTAGGATTTTAAAATAACTCCCTAGATTTAGGTTAGGTTTGGGTTTGGGGGCATTTTTGGGGGGTAAATATGTCTAGGGTTTTTTTTTGGGAGGTAATATTATTAAGGCCAGTGGCACATAAAAAAACATAACAAATGATATTGATTAGATATTTCTACCTAATAATGAAAAAGATTTTTTTCACTGTTGTGATTCTAAATTTTATTAGTAATAAATAAAACTTTTATATTAATATATATTTGTTTCATTTAATAAATACTTATTTATCATCAAACAAGTAAAACCCGTTGACGATTTCAGGGGGAAAATATTAGATTGACATTTTATTATCAAAAACACATTTTTAGGAGTTTTTGGGTGGAATTTTGACTGTTCTTTGGGGGGGAAATTTTTATAATGGTTGGCAACACTGGATTCTGGTTGTGTGTGTTCCCGCCGTGCTTCAACGAAACCGGTTGCGTTCTGGCAAAATTGTAGCGATTCTGCAAGAAAAGAATTTCGTTACAGAAGTCGAATGCGGACAAATGAAAATCGAGACTTATCTTTCCCTCTGATTCTTTTTGCTAAAATATGGCGCCGAGCAATCTAACATTCATCTAGTTATCTCGTGATTCTTTCTAGAAAGAGTTTCTCTACATTCTTCATCGAAGAGCCTTCTCTATCGCGGTAGCAGAGACGATGCAGTCCAAGTGCAGGCTCGCCCGCGGGAGGAACGGCGGACGGAGACGCGAGAGAGGGGGACCTTTCGGCGGAGTGACTGAAACGGAGAAAAGGGAACGCGAGCCGCGTGGCAAGGGGGCTTGACGGGCGAGAAGAGAGGGCCCCGAAGAGCACGGCGGAAGAAGAGAGAGAGAGAGAGAGGGAGGGAACGAGAGGCGAGCGAACAAACCGAGCGAGCGAGTATTTTCGCTGGCCTTGACGCAGCGACGGAGGGCGATGCACCTCTCCTGGCGAACACACTGCGAAACCGGGAGCGTGTCGCACACTTGCGTGCACGCACACTCACGCGCGCACGCGTACGCGCTCGCACCGAGAGTGCATTCGAAAGAGGGAGAGAGATAGAGAGAGAGAGATGCGGCGCAAGAGGCAACTCGCTCGCGTCTGTGTCTGTGCACGAACGATGCAGCTGCACGCTCGCGCATCGTATGTGTATGTGTGTATCTATCTGTGTCTGTGTGCACAGGCGTGTCGGCACCGGTCCAACGAGGGGACCGAAGGCCCGGTCCAACTCGCGAACGGTCGACACTGACCTCACCCAACGACCGGCGGCGGTGCACACCGGTGTCGTCCCTCTCGCCCCTCCGCGCCCCTCCCTGTCCCCTCGAACCCCCTTTCCTCTCACTGTACACTGTCTGCCAAAAGTCGCGGAAGAAGTCGCTTGCAGTTTGCGCGCGTACGCTTCGACGATGGCGAACGCAGGTGCGAGCCGAAATCTCTGCTTGGCAGCCATTTGGTTGGTGTAGATCGGCGAACGGTTCTTGGGGATTGCAAGGTTTTTTCGCTTACAACTCTATTATGTATGTTTAAAAAAAGTCGTACACTATTACACTTTAATATTGTTTCGATATTTTCAAAACATCTCCCGATTTTTAAATATTCTTGATAAAATGTCCGTTTTGTTGATCGCATCTTGATGGGTGTTATTTTTTTTTTTATATGTTTGATTCAAACATACGGAACGACTAATAAATCATCGAATAATAATAATCATATCCGTATTAATTTCTTAATATTCAATTGATTACTACATATCTCAAATGATGATTTAAAATCAATCTTGACTCGTAATTTCTTAAGCTGCTTAACCCGATTAATATTACACATTATATGTGTGTTTTGATATACTTGTCAAATACTATCTTTGTCGATTATCAATCAAGGGATAAGGCTCATAAATCGCCGCTTATTATTTATCCGACTAGCGTGCGGAGAACTTTACTTCTCCAAACGACCATTGTATCAATATTAATGACAATTCTCTTACGCAACAGCACAATTTCGAGCACAATCGTCATCGCGCTTATTAATTCTCGCCCCGAGGCGAGCCCCGTCATCGATGAATACTTCTCCGTAGAGAGCTCGGGCCGTAATCTCGCATTTATTCTGGATTATCGAGAGAAACAGACAGAGACAGAGAGAAAGAGAGAGATATCTGAAACCCCGTGGACTTTTTCACGGAGCCTACCACCACGCCGCATCGACGCGGTGCAATGCACCGGGCCGAGGGGACGGATAGACGAACGGGCGGTGGTACACGAGAGCAGCGAGCGAGCCTGCCCTGGTCTGGCCTGGTCTGGCCTGGTCTGGCCTGGCAAACCTGGCGAACGAGTCGACGAAATGACGGCGGGATGAGAAAGGAACGTGGCGACGGGCAGGAGGAATCGGAGAAGGGTGAGGGGGAGGGGGGAGGGGGGGAGACAGAGGCAGGAGAAAGAGACGAGAGGGCGAGATGATGCTGGGCTTCTCGGACTGGATCCCCCGGTATTGGCCTCGCGCGCGTTTTCGGCCCGCGGGAATGCCGCGGAATAGCGGGGCGAGAGGGGGAGGGGGGACATGTATAAGTCGGGGACTTGCTTTATGGGCTCCGCAGGGCCTGCCCCCTTTTCCCCCTCGCGGCGCCCCCTCGACGCCGCCGATCCCCCGTGTGTGTATACATGCGTCTTGTTATTAAGCCCTCGGTCGTGTGTGTGTGTGTGTGTGTATGTGTGTGTATGTGCCCACGGTCGCGTTCGAACCGAGAGCTGGATCGAGGCACGCATACGCTTGTACATACGCAATGCGTGCGCGCGCGCGCGTACGCGTACGAGTTGCGAATCGAGATTCTTATTAATCGTGCGTCGACCCTATGTATATGCCCGACGTTCGCGCATATACGTCTCGTTCGTTCAAAAATCGCGTCCGCCCGACACGGAATGGAAGGAGAGGGGGGGGGGGGGGGGAGGGGTTAGGGGGGGGG